CTTCCTTCCTTCCTTCCTTCCTTCCTTCCTTCCTTCCTTCCTTCCTTCCTCTCTTCCTCCCTTCCTCCTTCCTGTCTTCCTTTCTTTCTCCTCTCTCTCTCTCTCTCTCTGTCTCTCTCTCTCTTTCTTTATCCCTTTACTACTTATTATGAATTGAACCGTGTCCTGAAATATGTATTAGAAGCAACCAAGGAGCTCCTCTGAGGCAAGTAGGGTAAAACTTTATCTCATATACTTTGGAAATGTTGTCACAGAGGGCTAGTCCTTGGAAAAAGACATCATGCTGAAAAAGTAGAGAGTCAGAGAAAGAGAGGAAGACCTACAACAAGATTGATTGTCACTGTCTGTGACTATAACGACAGGTTTGAGCTTTTCAGAGATGGTAAAGATGGGCAGAATAGGGCAAGGTTCAGATCGACTATTTCTAAGATTGCTAGAGTTGTAGTCGATTCAATAGTGTGGTCCCTAACAATGATAACATTCCTGTAGAGATTATCCCATTTGGAAATAGGGCTTTCTCTGTTACTTTAATGAAGTTATATCAGGGTAATATGTATCCACAATCTAGTCTCTTCTGAGTTATAAATAGCAGAAATAGGGTATCATAGATGTTGCATGAAGGTGAGTATGAAACCAAGAACACCAGGGCTTAGGAAGCTAAGATATGGTTTTTACCCTCAAGGCAACAGAGAGAAAGCCTTTCCCAAAAGTCAGTTCCCTGAATTTGGACTTCTAGACTCCTAAGTTTAATGAAATAAATTACTTTCAAGTCACTCATGTATAGTATTTGTGTTACAGTAGACATTTTACCTAATGAATGAGTGACCCCCAGACCTAACAGTTTAACTGGATGTGAGACTTCCAGTGCTAACAGGAGGTCAGTGTCACATTGCAATTCACCACATACATTTGCACATGTACAGCTTACTACATATAAACATTATCTAAGATGTAGCAGAGAGCTCTGAGCCAATGAAAAATCTTGGCTATCAGATGATTTGTTTCTAGACTTATGATGACATGAACTAAAATAAAGTAAAACAAGACTACATTTTGCATTACACTGCATTATAGTGTCTGCAGGAGGCCTCCCAACACCTACCCATTTCCAGTAAGTTCTACATTTGGAGGAGCTTGGTCTAGGTCACAGGAAGGTATGTCTTCTGAATTTTCACATCTGTCTTCATCAGAACTATCTTCTTCACAGTCAGAATCTCCATTACAAACCAAAGATTTGCTGATGCACTGACCTGAATGCAAGAAAACAAAGCAGGAGAGAAAGGAAGTACAACCAGGGTTAATTAAGAAGGTTCTTCTCCCACCCACACCACCCCCTTAATGGCTTAAGATAAACTTGAGAGGAATTCCTTGTGTCTTTGGGGAAGCAATACACGGAATTGATTGACCTTAGCCAAAGTAAAACCGAACATAGAACCCGAGTTCATAATCCTAGGTTCTTCATTCATAGTTATCAGGTTGTTTTCTGACTCCTCTAAAATCATGCAGTGCCACTTATTGAGAATACAGCTTGATCTCTTGCTCTTTAATTTTCTGTTTCTTTCTGTAATCTCTGATAGAGATGTCAAAGTCCTGTGAGGGGTTTTGGTGATTTGGGTTTGTAAGTTTTGACCACACAGGAACTGAGCCAAGACCTTAAAACTCGGCATTACTTTAGCTCCCCCTCCTCCATGAAAAATATAGGACTGTTTCTGGTGTAAAGATACAGATATGAATAAATATGGTCTCTGGTGGGTTTTTCATGTAATTTACAATCAAATGGGAAAGATAATAAAGGGATCAAACACGGTAATTTAGTGTAATAATTGCTCTGATATACTTTAAACCAGGGTAGCGAGGAAGCCCACAGCAATGTTACAGGATCCAGCCCATCTCCCTCTTCAGCAACATCTCTAGCCATTTACCTGTCAAAATCCTATCCGTTAATCACACTGGACCACTGTACTTTCAAGGATCATTTCTATAGTTCACTACTAAAGAAACTTTTCTCCTTGAGTAGAACATCAGGAAAACTCCATTTGCAGTTCTCCCTGGTAGAAGGGTTTTCTCCGCCTATCTCCTGCTTGTCTCTCAAGAATCAAATTAAACATTATCTTCTCACAATGACCAGTCCTACCTCAAAGACTAGGGCACCTATCTTTTCTCTGTGTCTTTCTAATTAGCTCTGCACACAACTATCACAGTGTGCAATTCCTATACTGTCACTCAATGTCTATACTGTCATTTGTTGTATGCTATGTTTCAGAAACTTCAGATAGGAAAGTGAAAGAAACAGAATCTATGTCTTCAAGTCATCAGCCAACCAAAAGAGAAGAGACACTCATGTCAAACAGTCTAGATTATAGATGGTACATGAGGAATGTAGACAAGTGAAATGCTAATTAGCTCTTTCAGGTAGGGGTTCAGAGAAGTCTTCTCATTTGATCTGGGTTTCAAGGTAAATTGGGAGCTCGACGTTGTCATAGAGCAAAATCACAAAGCCTGAGTTTTTTAAAAAATTCGTTTTCTTGAGAGAATAAAAGCAATTGCAGCTGAGGAAACACTTCACAAAATGTAAAATTCACAAAGGAGTTGCAGGCAGACAGACAGTACTAATATAGCTAAATTGGAAACTGATTGATCAGTAACAATTGAGTCAGTTGAAGATAGTACAAAGCAAAGCTTGTTAATAACATTATTTGGTATATTAGTACAGCTGGAATATATAGATTGACTCAAAGACACAATTACAGAAGAATATGCTTATAATTCGATCAATAAACCTGTCACAGGACAATGGCAGGCCAGTCCTGTCATCAGATCACAAGCTGGTTTGACAGGTATTAAGACACAGGTGTGCAGTTCAAATCCACCAGCTCATCACTAGCGAAGGATGGGCAATCTCCCCCAATGTGATTTACTACCTCTCAAAACCTACTAGACACCTCACCCCTTCTTGTTCAGGGCCACACTTTCCCTTCAGCTATGTTCTTGAAGAAGGATGTAGGGGGATGATGAGCAATCTCCTCTCCTGTGATTAAATGCCTCTGAAAACCTGCCAGAGGGTCAGCTATGGGTCCGTCTTAACAGTACACAACAGCTTAAGACACAGGCTTCATGAGATTGTAGTACAGGCATGTTGTAAGAATATAGCACACAAATCAAACTGCATGGTTTTAAGCAAGATAAGCTAAAAAGAACTTGTTTGAGGAAAAATATTCCTTGAGAACTCGGCATAAAGAAGTTATCAGGTAATCAACCGTGTTCTGATCTACTCCAGGTGGTGGTGGTGGTGGTGATGGTGGTGGTGATGTATGGTCAAGTGGGAACTGACCCATAGCTGACCCTCAGGGAAGTTTTCAGAAGCGGTTAATCACACAAGAGGAGATTGCCCATTCTTCTCCCACGTCCTTCTCAAGGAACATAACTGCAGGGAAAGCATAGCCCTGAACAAGAAGAAGGAGAAGTGATCTAGTGGTAAGAAACTGCTCTACAACCCCAGAGGCACACAGGCAAATTCACCAGTTGTTCTAATGAAGAAGAATGGGCAATCTCCTCCTGTGCAATTTATTGCCTCTGTAAACCCACTGGAGGGTCAGCTATGAATCAGATGTCTGTGTGTACCATTCTAACTCAAGGGTACACACCAACAACAAACATTCTATTACAAGCTGAAATTGGGTTAGAGGTGAACAGATGTTTGTGAAAGGAAAGAAAGTAGATAGCCCAGATTTACTGCTAGCCATTTTCTTCTGACCAACTAACTGCCTTTATTTTATTCAGCTGCTCCTCAATAGATATCACTGAAGAGTAATTCCAACACAGGGACTATTTCTTTACATTCAGTTCTGCCTATGTTGTTGATGTTATGTGCCGTCGAGTTGCTTGTGACTCACAGTGACCCTTATACAAGAACTCTAAACCTTGCTCTATCCTGTGCCAAACTCATTGTCTCCAACATAACTACTCCCACTACCCCAATCACTGAATCGATCCATCTCATTAAGGGTCTCCCTTTCCTGAGCCGTCCCTCCACTCTCCCAAACCTGATGTCCCTCCCCAAGGAGGACAACAGGCCCAAAGTTTGTCAGACAAAGCTTCAGAATCCTTGACTCCAAGGAGCAGCTCAGCTTCATCTTCTCCAGAACAAACCTGTTTGTTCTCCTAGCAGCCCATGCTATATTCAACACTCTTCTCCCACACCAAAAGCACCAATTCTCTATCATCCCTAGTCACTGTCGAGCTCTCCAGTGCATAGCAAGGACTATAGCCTGGATCGGGCACACCTTAGTCTCCAGCCTGACATCATTGCTTTTCAGTACTCTGGAGAGTCCCTGGCAGCTGACTTCCCCAATGCAATTCATCTCTTCATTTCCTGGATGCTGGTATCAAGAGTGTTAACTATCTCAATCTCTTCACCATCTACACTGATGCTGCCAGTTGGCCCAGTGGTGAGAACCAATGTATTATTGATACTGAGCTCCAACCCCTATTGAAGGCTGCAATCCTTGACCTTCTGTAGCAAGCACTTCAGGTCCTCTTCAGTTTCAGCAAGCAGGGTTGTGTCATCCGCATAAGACAGGTTGTTGATGATCTTCCACCAATCCTGATGCCACATTTCTCCTTGTACAGCCCAGAGTCTCAGATGATCTGTTCTGCATACACATTGAAAAGTATGGAGACAGAATAGATCCCTAGTGGATACTTTTCCCAGTTTTGAATCATGCAGTGTCTCCTTGCTGTGTTCTGACGACTGCCTCTTGGTCCAAGTATACGTTTCATATAAGCACACACTCTGGGATTTCCACTCTTCTTAGAGTCAGCCACAGCTTGTTGTCAAAACCCTTTGCATAGTCAGATAGCACAGATAAACATTCCTCTGCTACTCTCTGCTTTCTGCCAAGATCCATCTAACATTACCTGTAATATCCCTAGGACCATAACCTCTTCTAAACCCAGCCTGCACATCTGGCAGTTCTCTGTTGATGTGTTGCTCCAGTCGTTTTTGGATAATTTACATCTTACTTGCATGTGATATTAATGATATTGTTCAGTAATTTCTGCACTCTGTTTGGTTACATTTCTTTGGGATGGGAACAAATATCGATATCTTCCAGTCAGTTTGCCAGCTGGCTGTCCTCCAGATTTCTTGGCACAACTTAGTGAGCACATCCAGGGCAGCGTCTGTTTGTTGAAATATGTCAATTGGTATGCCATTAATTCCTGAAGCCTTGTTTTTTTGCCAGTTCTTTCAGAGCAACTTGAACTTAATCCTTCATCACCACAGACTCTTGCTCATACGTTATTTCATTAAATTCTTCTATGTCAGCCAATTCCTTCTGATACAGTGAGTAACTGTATATACTCCCTCCATCTTCTTTTAATGCTCTTGGATCATTTTAACACTCTGCCCAAACCATCCTTAAGTATTGCCATTCATGGCTTGAATTTTTTTTTCAATTCCTTCAGCTTAGAAACGCTGAGCGAGTTTGGCCCTTTTGATTTTCTGACTCCAGCTCTTTGCACATTTCATTATTGTATCTTGCTTTGTTGTCCCGTGCTGCCCTTTGAAATTTTCTGTTCAGCTCTTTAATTTCTTTTCTTTTTTTTTTTTTTTGGTTTTTGTCTTAAGTGAAACAAAGGAGTTTATTACCATCTCTTGGTCAGGTTTTGCTGTCTTTGGCCAGAGAGAGGCAGAGTAAGGCTTTAAAGCACCTCTTTAATTTCTTGATTTCTTCCTTTAGCTTTGGCATCTCAGTGCTTTAATTCAGAGTCTCATCTGACATCCATCTTGCTCTTTTCTTCCTCTTCAGCTTTTATAATGATCTTGCATTCTTCATGGATGATATTCTTGATATCCTCCCACAGGTCGTTTGGTCTACACTCATTGGTGCTCAAGTCCTCAAATCTATTCCTAAGATGGTTTTAAAATTTGAGTGAGATAGATGTAAGGTCAAATTTTGGTTCCCATGGATTTGATTTCATTTTCTTCAACTTCAGTTTCAACTTTCTTGTGAGTAGTTGGTGGTCTGTTACACAATCGGCACCTGGCCTGGTTTTCACAGCTGATATTGAGCTTCTCCAGCAATTCTTTCCATAAATGTAATCTATTTGATTCTTTTGCATACCATCAGGTGAAATCCATATGAATAGCCTGCGTTTGTGTTTCTTATAAAAGACAATAATATTTTGAAGGAAGGAACAGTGTGTTTCACTTCTCATTCACAACCCTCATCTCTGTATATGGAACAGAACAAAGGTGTTTGCTGGAGCTTGTTAAGTTAATCTGATCCCATAAATGCAATTGGCAATAAATTAAGCAATATTCACGTCAAAAATGCGTGTTAAACATGCCATAGATTGAGATGGCCAAAATTGCTCTTTAATGAGCTAATGATTTGCTTTTCTTGAAAACAGAACAATAATTTAAACTGTAAAATCGCTTTTGTTCAATCTCAGTGTTCATGGTAGACTCACTCTGCATCTTCATCAAAATGTGATATCAGAATCTGTTGAGTCTGTCAGTAATCGTGGAGCTCTAGTGACCTAGTGAGTAAAGAGTTGTGCTGCCAATCCAGAGGCAGGTGGTTCAAATCCATCAGCAGCTCCTCTGGCAAAAAAATGGCCAATCTCCTCTTATGTGACTTACAGCCTCTGAAAAACCCACTGGAAGGTCAGCTATGTGTCAGCTCTGACTCTAATGGCACATAACAATAACCTAGCATAGTGACAAAGAGTAGTCCCACTTCTACTTCCATGTGCCTGTCTTTGTATTTGAAAGAAATGAGTGTATGCTAGCCATATGCTAGCAACAATTCTTTTATTTTTTTGGTTTTTTTTTTAATTATTAAATTTTATTCGTTTCAATGAACATTCACAGGGATTCTGGGCTTTCACTCCTTCATTGCAGCACCATTCTCTCCACCCTCCTCCCCAGTTTGTTCTTCTTCCCCGCCATCCGAATGTCTGTTTTAATTGTCCAATGCTAGCAACAATTCTACTGATACTTGGGGGAAATTAATTTATTGGTCAACATAACTTCAGTAAAATTAAACAAGCATATATATGAGCAAGTGATCAAGGAAATTTGAATTTACACTCTGCCTTCTAAGATGTGAAGACAAGTTACCTGAAAAGCACCTGAAGCGCTCTCCACACCCCTCTTCTGTTGGGCATCCTCGGGTAGGTGCACAGGCCTGAGTTTCAAAAGCACTTTCAGAGCAAGCGTGGCCTCCATACTGACTGTAAACAGCAACTGACCGCCTGCGAGTCTAAACATAAAGCAGATGGTGCTTTCAGAGATTTCGAATTTCCTTCATCTGAGAGAAATTAATGCAATTGGGGAGACAATATCCGGGAAATCATTCTGACGTTCTACAGAAATAAAACCTCTAAAATCAATGAAAAACCCACAGACTCACTTGTCCTTGAGTTTAGTGACAGTTGGGCGATTATTTATAGAGCTTTCACAGTAATATATTTACTTTCTAGGTGGAGTGGAGGATGACAGGGGAGAGTGAGAGACTAAGAAAATGACCTGGAAAAGTCAACCTTAGGAAATAGATTATAATATAGAATGATTCCTATTTTTATACAATAATGAATAAGTTTGTCGAAGCTCTGTACCAAGAGCTAGCCAGAAAGGTTACTTAAGTCTACTTAGACTATGCCAGAGAGAAGGTAAGGTCCTGAGAAGCAGGATAGAGATGGAGTTAGGAAAATCATTAGAAATATAATGGCATTTGATTTGAGCTGAACTTTGAGGCTTATACAGAAAGACAAGATAAGGAAGAATACTCAGAGTAAACACGTTAAATGGAGTCAAGTTTGCAAAACAGACTCCTAAGCTGTCCAGCGATAAAGCCACAGGCACAATAGAATTTTACAAGACATTCCAAAACACTGACATTTAGAATGGAATATTAAAAATATATATGAACTCTGAAATAGGAAAGACATCAAAGTAAGCAAGCTTTGGGAAAAAAAGTGCTACTGGGAAATTGAAGAAATAATCAAACCAAATGAGAATCTCCAACCAAAATTCATTTAATTCACCTCAGTGTCAAGGTATGGAGCTAATTTTTAAACAAACAAAGATCTACCAAATCCTTTTCTTCCCTAAGGCAATCAAAAGAGCATTTTTCCAGCCTCAGCCTATTTTCACTTCTGCCTGCTAATATAATTGAATTGAATTTGAGCTTCCGGATTTAAACTTTAAGCAGAAGCCAAAGGGAAAGTAGACAGGCAAGCCAGGATGTAGTTTATCTGTCCACCTTAAATTAGGTGAAGAGTTCCTAGAGGCAAGGGCCCTCCCTACTAACTGACCCAGTAACTGGGGTAATGAGGGTAGGTGTGTCAGAGACAGTGAGATTGACTCAAGACAGAGCAGGTTTCAGAGCGATTGTTTATAGGGTCTCTCTGAGAGATATCACATAACAACAAGAAGTAGCTTTGCATTAGGCAAGAGATTAGATCTGGGACTTCACTGTGTTTAAGCAGAAGAGTCAGAAAGGAATAAGTGGAGAATGGAACCCAGAACAATTTCTTGATAAATTTTCAGCTTCTGTTTTTGATTGATGAAGACATCTTTCACATGTAAGTGATTAATTTGTCCTTTTTCCTAAGGTTCTAATGTCGTAATGTAACAGATTGTGTTGTTTGTATAGATAATGTTTTCCATCTCCATATTGCCAATGCCCACTCTCAGTTTTTTCCCCACTTGTTAAACTCTCAGCTCATAGGCCTTTTTTCATTTTCACTTTTTCCCTTTCTGAATAAGAATGTTATTTACACAATCTAAGGATGTGTCCATTCTGTGCTGATCTTCCACCCAAAAAATAATATTAACTAAAATGGGAAAGACTGGATCTTTCTAGATAGAGCTTTTTAAAATTTGCTTTTAAATTACAAGTTTGTAAAAAAATATAAATTATAAAAATTTTTATACACTTCACTTTCACCTTGTTATTCATGTACCTGTTTGCTTGGAAATCTATTATATTTGCTAGGAGCCAAATTCTGCATCTGTGTAACTTTCACTGTGAATACTTCCCATGTTAGTACTAAAGAAATGATTGGTGGAAAGAATTGTGATGAAGTCTCCAAACATATATTGCCTTGTAAAATTTTTATTTCAGCAATTTTTTTTTCCTAAATACACACTTTATCTGCATTAAACCACTGTTGCGGGACAGGACTAGGTTCAGATCTTTTGTTCATAGGGACACTAGGAGTCATACTCAACTCAACAACACCTAACAACAACCACCACCAACATATATTTAACCACTAATACCACTTCCTAAACAACATGCCTCTGGAAACTCGATGAACTTTGATAAATGTCAATAGTTCTAGAAAGTCTTCAGGCCTTTTGTTCATAGGATCACTGTAAGTCAAGCTCTACTTAATGGCAATCAGCAACAACAATATGTTTGTAACTTTTAAAACAAGTATCATATTTTTAGTAATTTATCTTATTAAAATAGAAAATAGGCAGCTGTCAAAGTAGAAACGTGTTCCTTAAAGATTTACTCATAACAGCAAAAAACTGAAAACCATTTAAAGCATTAAACAAGTCTGGTACATTCATACACTATCTGAAACATTTTATAGTTGTTAAAATTTTGCATATAGGAAAATGTTAGATTAAAACAGTAAGACACAAAACTAGGAACAAATAAATTATCTCATTTTCAGAAATTATAAACACAAAGAAAGTACAGTGAAAGTACCATTGACTCATAGCTGACCCTCCAGCAGATTTTCAGAGGCAGTAAATTGCATAAGACATTGCCAACCTTTCACCTTCAGATAATCTGGAGCAATAGAACTGTGTGCCTTTCGGTTGGTAATGCAACACCTCACCACTAAGCCATTTTCTCTATATAGCTTTAATATTGTTGTTGTTGTTAAGTGCCATCGAGTCATAGACTACTCATAGCAACCCTATGAATGAAAGACCTGAACACTTGTATAACTTTCATCATTTCTCTATGTTTATAGAGTTTCTGGAGGCAAGCTATTTTGGAAGTCAGTGCCACTCCTGCTTCCAAGCCTGTTTTAATTGGGGGCCTCCACCAAACACTGTCCACCATGGGTAACCATTATCACATTTGTCACGGCAGTGTCACAGTGTTTAGGATCACAGCAACCACAAGTTATCTCTGTACAGCATATTGAAAGACCAGTGTTATACCATTTAGAATGTCTGACCAAAAACAATTAAAACCAGGCCTGAAGGTCGCAGATTAAAATCACCCAGCTTCGGCTTGGTAGCATAACTTCCTATCCACCGGCCAACAGAGCTCTCTCTATGACTCACAGCAAATCTATGAACAACAGATCTAACCCTTGCCCCATCCTACACCATCCCCACAATCCATGACATGCATGAGCCCATTGTTACAGTCACTATATCAATCCATTGAGTTGAGGATCTTCCTTTCGTCTCTGACCTTCCTCTAATACAGCTCCCTCTATATTGAAATGTTGTTGTTGTTACAGAGAACTGTCATGTCAGAACCTAACCAGAGCTGACTCTCCGGTAGGTTATAGTATTCAGTAAACAAGTCATACTTTTCTCCATTCAAAATTATAATCATGATTTTCAAGAAACATAAGAATAGACATGGCTGAGATAAACTTACATATAAATAATAAAGTGTAAACAATTTTTCATGGCCCTACCTGAGTCTTGGTACAGCCACTGCATTCTGACCAAGGGGTATAGGAACCCCACTGGCAATTGATTGGAGAGACAGCACTATCATGGTGTCAAATTGTCCATCATAAAACAAAGAGAATAATAAGAGAGAAGACACACAAAGAAGAATTAAAATGAAAGTAAAATAAACAGTCACAGGGTTTTGGTCATTTTCCAAAGCAGACACTAAAAGTCTCCTAAGAGGTAGCAAAGTAATATATTTTTTAGAGGCTAATTAATTTTTCCTGCATTAATATGTATAAGGAGCCCTGATGGTCTAATCTGTAGAGATTTTGCACTGCTATCCCAAAGGCTGTGCTTCCCTCGTGTTCAAATCCATGAGCAGCTCCCAGGGAGAAAGATGAGCAATAGCCTCTCATTCTGATTTGACACCAATGATAGAGGTAGTGATGAATAAAGTGCCAGGCTATTTAGACATTGAAGTTATGGGGGAAATTTTTTTTTAGAAATTTAAAAAGAAAATATGGATGACTACAGACAGAGAGGAAAGACACAGAAACAAATGTGTAAACAAATAATCAAATATTGGATGTGCCATGGATTGCCAAAAGAATAAACTTCTCTCCTGAAAGAAGTACAGCCAAAATGCTCCTTTAGAGTAAGGATGGTGAGACTTGATCTCATATGCTTTGGGCATGGCACGAGGAGGGGCCATTTCTTTAAAAAACACATCATGGAAAAATTGAAGTGTCCGTGAAGGAGAGGAAGACCCTCACTGAGATTGTCCAACACAGTGGCTACACCAAAAGGCTTACAGGCAGTAGGAATTGCAAGGATGATGCAGGAAGGGACAGGTCTTCAATCTGTTGGCTATAGTCACTGTGAAGGGAGCTCTGGTGGTCTAGTGGCAAGAAGTTGCACTGCAATCCCAGAGGTTTGGGGTTCGAATCCACCAGATGCTCTGCTGGAGAAGGAGGGACAATCTCCTCCTGTACAAGTCAGATCCAATTTGATGGTTGTGGTTGTTGTTAAGTGCTGTCAAATTGCAGGCGACTCATAATGACCCTATGAAGAAGGAGAGTCCTCGACGCTTGGGTGCCTTTCATCCTCTCCAGGTTCATAGGGTTTCCGGAGGCAAGCTATTATGGAAGTGGACGCCACTCCTTCTTCCAAGATTTGATGGTATACACATACAAAATAATAAAAGTTTTTAAAAAACTTCAAGAGTCACTGTGAGTCAGATCCAACTCAACAGAACCTCATAACAAAGGAAGAATGTCTTAACAATCCACTTCCTAAACAACATGCCTCTGGAAACTCTAAGAACTTTGATAAATTGCTATAGTTGTAGAAAGGCTCCAGGCCTTTTGTTCATAGGGTCACTATGAGCAGAACTCAAGTTGATAAAAATCAAAAACAACAAATAAAATATATTTATCCACTAATACCACTTCCTAAACAACATCCTCTGGAAATTCTAGGAACTCAATAAATGATGATAGTTGTACAAAGGCTTCAGACCTTTTGTTCATAGAGTTGCGACGAGTCGCATTTGACTCAACGGCAATCAACAACAATCACAACAACAATAAAAACACCATTTTTTAGTTGTGGTAAATAGATATGTATGTGTGTTATAAAGCCTTAGCCAATTTATCATTTTTAACATGCACAATTCAAATGAACACAGCTTTTACTATTTTCTACACACAGTTCAAAACAAAAATCTCACCTTGAAAAAACTTGAAACTCTTCTATAAATCCCACCAAAATGAATAAGCTTATTGCCTGGGGAACAAAAAAACAGTAAAGAGCATCATTATAGCCTTCAATTATTGTTGAATTGACATTCAATGCATTTTTCAAATAAAGATTTGTGGTTTGAGAGCAGAAAGACAGTAAGGAAACCACAGGGCTGCATGATTTAGCTTTTTATTCCAATTTCTATTTTAAGTAAAAAAAAAAATACTTTTTAAATCCCACCTCCTACTGTTCATTTCTGGGAAAATCAGATCAGAGTTGAGCCAGGATGTTCAAAAAGTGCTCAGTTCTCTAAGGCTGCAGCTGTGTGGTCTCAATCATTTCCGTAAGGTTTATCATCTTTTAATCTTTGTCTCCACTTCCTTTCTCTCAAAGTCCAGTATCCATAAGGGCACCCAAGGAGAAAATGCCTGGAAAAACTCAAAGTGCTTGTAAAAAGAGCAAGGGGCAGAAAGAGATAGCCATATGTGACCTTTACCAACTTCACAAAAGGGAACTGTCCCATCAACAACACAAAACCAATTCCATGAGGTCAGACATGTCCTCTACACTCCCACACCTCTTTCTACTCATCCTAACACCAATCTTGTAGCTTTACTGGGTCCAAATCCACTGCAAAAGTTCATAGACCACACAGAACCCTATTAGGGAAGTCAAAAGGCAAATTAGTATCAGAAGTCAATTACTAAGTCAGGACAGCTTCTGAAATGTGCTGGCAGGTGTAAATGCCTTGAGCATTGTGTCTTTAGGCCAGTGTGACAAAGTCTCAGTCCTGGCAATTATGCCTAAACCCACTGAGTCCTCCAACAAACAAGGCTCTGGGGGAAAGGCTCTGGCTCTCGCTCAATAGCATAGCAACTCCAAGGTCTGTTCCCTTTCGTGTGAGGTCTCTGGTTCTCCACTGTGCTTGTTATGGCTGATTCTCCCATAGGCCCTAGTTTGACTGACACAGAATCTCTGACCCTGAAGGACACATTGCATGCTCTTGCTTCCCCTTTGCTGGTGGTGAAGTTTCTCCTATTCTGCTGCTGCATCTGCTCAATTTAAAATGGAGAGATTAGTCAATCCAATCCCTTTGTGAATTGGTGAGACTAGCTAATCCTTATGTGGATAGGCTAATACACCCTATTCTTTATTATTATTATTATTATTATATTTTTAAATATTTTTTATCACACTCTATTCTTATATTCTTGCCCATGCACATGGCAAAGTCAAAGTCAACGGCTTAGGGAAGACATTTTTAACAATAACCTCTTAACACCCAGGATTAGATGCCGAGACACCAAAAGGAAGCAATGACACTCGTTGTCATTGAATCAGAACTAACTCCTACCTAGAGGATCCCCGCCTCGGGTTTTCAGGCTGTAAATGGTGTGGAAGGAGATCCTTACCTTTCTCCCTCCATTCAGTGGATTCAAACCACCTGCCTTTGGGTTGGCAGTGAAACTCCTTACCCAGTAGGCCATCGTCTTTCTATCATAGCTCTCTAAAAGGGAAATGAGCTTCAAAGATCAGTGTCCAGAAGTTGAGACACTGCCCTGTAAGACCTTTCCTAACCATCCCTTTGTGATAGTATAGGACTAGATAGTGAGACTCTTGACAGGTAGCGAACATGAGGGAAAGCAAACACATATTGATAAAGCAGTTCTAGAAAGAAACAAAACAAACAATAGTTTATTTCTGGGTGGTGAAATGATAGGTGATTTATTTATCACTTGTGTGTGCTTTCCTATTTTAACTGACAACTGAAGGAGGAGATTGCAATACTTCAAGTGAATTCCATTTCTAATCCAATATGAAAGTCCCTTCTCCACATCGCAACAGGCCAGCAAGTGCATTGTTATTCTGAGCTCCCCAAATCTCTATGTCCATAAACTGACTGAAAAAAGCTGTGATTTCTTTTTTTTCTAGGCCTTTCTCCTAGCATTCCTAGACCATCAATCCTATTAGATAGCTTTTTTTTTTCCAGTTGTGGAATCCTACTTGCCTAGTTCTGGTATGTACAATCCTACAAATCCTTAAGCCTATTAGTCTTATTATCCAAAGAGTCAGAGAGGTCCAAGTAGCCTCAAATAGCCTGGAAAAAGATAAAGTTCAAGAGGCTTTGAACACATTAAACACGTAATTCTTAAGTGTTGATTTTTTTTTAATTGTTATTGTTGTTATTAGATGCTGACAAGTCAACTACAGCTTATGAACAATAAATGGAAACCTCGCCCTATCCTGCACCATCCTCAAGGTCTCAGTCATGTTCAAACTCACTATTGTAGTCACTGTATCAATCCATCTTGTTAAGGTTTTGCTTTTTCACCATCAGGCCTTCCTCTGTCCTGTGTCAACTCATTGTTATGCCTGTCCCTGGGAAAGAGAGCTCTCTTACCGGTCACTCTGAGATAGTCCTGTTTCTCAGAAAACAAAATTCTAATTTTCAGGCTAATGTTCAAATTTCATTTTCTTATTCAATGTAGAATTTTATCTTATTCTTAATTCTTGAGTGCCTAAAATGTGAGAGGAGTGGGATCTATGTCAAAAAATCACCCCATCATGTCTGTCCCTAGTCCCCCAAAGTCAGAGCCAAGGAGTGAGAGAGAGCAGGGACAAAATGCCTCCGCTGGTGCCTGGTGGTGGGTCAGGATGTGCCAGGAGTCTCTAATTCTTTCTTTTAAGGATTTTGGGGTTCTTTAGATGATCCCCACTTGGAGATCTACAACCCCTGTTCTCTGGCACAGTCTCTTTTTTCCTTGTGGATAACTTTCATCAGAGCCTGTCTCCTAGGGGTATTTTCTCTGTTGGAGTCACTTCATCTTGCAGTAATCTCTCAGGGAGGGTCTCCTAACAACCTCCTCTGGTTGTTTTACACATGTGGTCCGTGCTTGCATATGCCCTTGACCTGCCACATTCTGGAATCCTAGTGACGTAATGGTAAGGAGCTGAACTGCCAGTCTGAAAGCAATAGGTTTGAATCCACTAACTGCTCCATGGGAGAAAGATGGACAATCTCCCTCCCCCACCCCCATGCAATTTATTGCCTCTGAAAACCTACTGGAAGTCAGTCATCGGTCAGTCCAGACTTCTCCATTGTACAGAAAAAGAAGAAGCTGTTACTGTGTGTGTGTTGGTTAACTCTGCCACCAGGTCAGCCAGTCAGCCCAAGTCTTTTCATTCTTTGATATAAACATGGGGACTAGTACCCAAAACCACAAATTCCAAGTCGTATTGTCTTTAAGCCTTCTTAAAGACACTGAGACACATCTACATGTCACTACACTCATTTGGGGCTGCTTTCTTTGTAATCACTCACTGACTACCCAGTCTCACAGCAGACATCATGAAGATTAAAAAGTTAACATTCTGTTACATTTTTCATTGTTACATACTTGTCAATGACTTTTTAGGGAATGTGTTTTTTAGTAGAGGACTTTGGTGGCTTAGTGGTAAGGAGTTGCCCTGCCAACACTAATGCACATGGTTTGAAGCTCATGAAGGATCAGTTCCATTTGATGGCACATAACAACAACAACTGCTTTTAGGCAAGAGTCTCTTTACTACTGTCTTATTTTGCAATTTGCATATTTTTCCATACATGCATACCCCTCAAAATTTGCTTATCACAGACCAGTCCTGGCAAGCTGAATTTAGTAACCTGGAGAGTTTCTGGAAAATTTGCTAACTGGTAGCTTAAAATGAAATCATTAGTATTCTTGCCCTTGGGGAGTTTACTATCAAATGTTGTTGTTGTTGTTGTTGTTGTTGTGTGTCATTGAGTCACCTGTGACCCATAACAATCCTGTGTACAGCAGCTCCGAACCCTGCCCTGTCCTGAGCAAGTCTCACTAACTCCAACACACCAACCCCCATTGCCCCAGTCACTGTAATGCATTCATCTCTTCTGGGGTCTTTCTCTCCTGTGCTGTCCCTCCACACTTCCAAGCATAATGTCTTTCTCCAAGGACTAGTCTTTGCTGGCCAGGTGGCCAAACATATGAGACAGCACTTCAAAATCCTAGCCTGCAAGCAGAAACTTGATTTCATCCTCTCCAAGATAGACTTTATTTTCTTTCTTGGCAGTCCATAGTATGTTAAGACTCTTCTCCAGCATCACAATTTGAAGGCATTGGTTCTTCTATCATCCTTATTCATTGTCAAGCTCTCTGATGCATAGCAAATAATTGTGAAAACCATGGCCTGCATTAGGGGCACCTTAGTCTCCAGACTTACATCCTTGCTATTCTGTACTCTGGAGAGGTCCCTGACAGCAAATTTTCCCAATGCAATTTGTGTTTTGATTTCCTGACTGGTGGTGGTAAGAGCGTTGTATGTGAAGCCAAAAAAGCTGTAATTGTTAACAGCCTCAATCTCTTCTCCATCTTTAATGAGTAACTATAAATAGTTCAGAGCACTCTGGGGGCCTGGTGATAAGAAGTGCTCTGCAATCCCAAAATCATGTGGTTCAAATCCACCAGTCACTTCTGTGCAATTTACTGTCTCTGAAAACCCACTGGAAGATCAGCCATGAGTCAATTCTAATTGAACAGTACACAACAACCAAAAATAAATACAACATCTAAACTGCTTCTAGGGAGCTCTGGTGGCCTAGTGGCAAAGAAGCTACACTGTAATCCCAAAGGCACAGGATTTGAGGCCACCAGCTATGGGTTGATTCTGACATGACGGTACACAACAACAATAACAAACTAGTTCTCTAGAAAGAATTGCTTAGAGAATGTATGTTGTTGAATTAATGAATGAATATTGTAAATTATGTAGTAAATCTTTTTTTTTCTTTTTTTATTTATTTCATTTTTTTTATTGGGAAAAACATATTGGGGGTACAAGGAGGTGAGGGTTGGGGGCAGAAGGGTGAGGATGGGCCAGGATGCAGTTGCAGAGCTGCACAGTTTGGTCGGTGGGAGGAGCAGGTGAAGGAAATGATGAGGGTCCAGTGGGGACCAGATGCTACAGAGGAATGACAAGCATTTTCCAATAGTAATGAAACCAACTGTCTCATTGATTTGAGAATTGGATGCCGACTCTCTGGTTTCTTCATGCTGAACAGGGGCATAGATATAAAAGGGGGAAGGGAGGACGCTTTATCACCTTACTGGTGGTCTTGGGTTACAGCTGCTTGCCTTCTTGCTCCTGAGGGCTGCGACGGTTCTCCCCGAGACGGGGGCCAAGCACAGCCCGCCCCGGGCAGAAGGCCACGACGGCTCACCCTGGGCAGAGGGCCGAGGGCAGCCCGCCCCGGGCAGAGGGCCGCAACGGCTCGCCCCGGGCAGGGGGCCGAGGGCAGCCCACCCCAAATTATGTAGTAAAACTACACAATGTATAGTACATTTATTCTGGGTCAACAATTAAGCTAGAACTACATTTCCCAGAATTCCCTTCTCTTTTTTCCTCATGGAATAAGAAGGGCCACCTACCTCTTTCCTACAATGTGTTCTGGCTACAATCATTAACTCTACTTCTGTAATTCCCCCAGATTTCGGGTATGATAATTTGTGTTTGTTTATTGAACCATGCCCCATTTAAGACAAAGAAAATGAAATGCACAAATTTCAAAAGAGTTTAGAAAATAAAATCATCAGTTTCTGTTAAGTTGAACAGACTCATGGCTGCCCCTCCACTGGCTTTCCAGGGTTATAAATTGACTGAGAAGGGAGGTCTGGTGGCCTTGTTGAAAGGAGCACTGCTGCCAACCCCAAGGCATGAAGTTCAAATCCACAAACTCCTCCATGGAGGCAATTTCTTCCCATTTAATTTCTTGCCACCGAAAACCCCCTGGAGGGTCAGTTGTGAGTTGGTTCTGACTTGTACACAACAACAAAGTGCATGAGAGATAATTGTCCATCTTTCTTCCCAGAAGCTGCTGGTGGATTTGAACCACCAGAGAAGCAAGGCCTTGGAGTTAGCAGCACAACTCCGCATGGACTAGGAAATTCATTTAAGGGTACAGATACAATTATAATAAAGTAAGTAGAAGACTCCTGGAAACATTCATCAGCTCTGGATAGAACATAAATGCAGAAAGACTCCAACCTAGGGAGGTCACTGTGCTTGGCCACATACCAGCCCTATGTGAGGGGCTGATGTTCTGGATCACAGAGGCCAGGTTCATCCCTGAGAAAGTGTGGTAAGAGGCTGGACCCCATCCACCTCAAACACAAGCCAACTTCTTCAGTCCCAGGCTTTTCTGAAAGATTACAGAGGTGAGTTATCTCATGTAAGTGACAGAGAGATAACTAAGGTGACTCTGGAATCCTCTGGGTCTATGATTTAGTTCACACACACGTGAAGGTAAAGGAGTCCCACTATCACATCCAGCTTCACACCCTCTTTAAAGATCAGTCTTGGAAATCTCTATTGGTTTCAGGATAAAAATCAGTTGCTATTGAGCTGACTGTGAATCAGAGAGACTCTGGCTCTCAGCAACCTCATATGTATCAGAGTGGACCTGTGCTCTGCCGGGTTTTCAATAATTGGTTTTCTAAAGTAAATTACTAGCTCTTTCTTCCACAACTCTGCTGAGCAGCCCTGAACCTGTAAATGTTCAGTTAGCGACTAAACACATTAATGTACCACTCAGGTTTCAGTTTCAGGATAGGATTTTCCAAGTTGCCCTTTTTTGAATCCTGACACAAAGTGTGTCCTTAAAATTTGCTTTGAAACTATAAATATCTGTGTTCAAATTTAGTTAGCAACTTGAGAAAGAATTGCCTGATCTGGTAATATGCAATCATCAATGGAAAGAGAAAATTATATTATCACTGCAGTAAAATAATAGTCAATGATTATAAATGAACATTTTTATATACAAACAAATTATTAAGATATCTTATAAATAGCAAAATAGATCAATCATTAGTAAAACTATTAGGAGAGAGTATGACTTTAGAAAGAACTTTTTGTCCTTTTTGAGCTAATAAACCTACAATTTCAAATAAAAAAACAAGGCAGAGTATCAGAAATTAGATTGCGACATAATTACAATGGGACTTGCCATTCTGGTATTATAACATTAAACACATTATCTTTGCAAGCTCTGTCTCATTTTCAATTATTTCATTCGACGTGAGCTGTGAGTTACTCAAAACCTATGTCTCACTCCCCTTCCCACCACAGTGGAAAAAGTGAGTGTGAATTCAGTACTGCAAATAGATAGCATAGTACCTATGAGACCAATCTCAACAGCTAACATTGTTGAGAAAGTGGTGCTCCTGAAATAGAATGCAAACAATTTTAGTATAAATATAAAAATGTATAAATAATAAAATTGTAATAATAATTTCATATTACTTTGTCTCCAAGAAATTCAGCCTATGATGATAAGCTCTCTTTAGGCTTGTGTGTTATTGAATAGATTTTTCCCTTCCAATTTTATTTTAGCTCTGGTTATTTTGTATGGCCAACATGTATGTTTGGTAAAACTCTAGCTTTATTTCCTCTAACTTATATCTTCTATTTCCTATAATCCTGATCCTCTAATCCAGGATTCCAAATTCAAATGTCCAAAATCTTCAAACTCACTTTTCTATAAGGTTCTTAGCCAGATTGGTCAAATAGTAAAACTCTAGGAGCATAGCCCACAGGGTACAGTGTGGCGAAATAAACAGCTGCCTCTCTGGTGGTTCAAGCCCACCGGTGGCTCTGTGGGAGAAAGATGGACGGTCTCCTCTCACAGGGCATCTGATGGAGGGTCACTATGAGTTGAAATCAACTCAATGTGTTTAGGTTTGGGAGCTTTATTATGTATTATTATTACTATTTAGTATTATTTTCCATTTTAAAAAAAATTGTTAAAGACCTTTTTTTCCTTAGCAACAATATTATTGCATTTCTTTGTATCTTTCTTGGGAATTTTAGTAAGCATTGTCTCCAGTCCTTGATTCCTAGTCCTCTGAAGTAGCAATTTAAATCCACAACAAGATAAAAGGCTTTGACTGAACTGATGAATATATTCAAATAGAACTTCTGAAACATTCCAGATCTTGTTTCCCTATTTTCCCTGGCTGCTGACCTTATCTGATGTTTCTTTAATTAAGTCTTACTAAACTAATGCTTTTGGAGATGGCTTCATTTACAAAAGTAATGAAGTTAATATCTTACCTTCATGTTTCGGAAAACATTCAAGGCAGAAAAGAGGGGAAGTTCCCACTGTGGGTGGTAGCTGAGTCTTTCCACAGCAGGACTTGCCTGGCAGGCGGTCTCCTTTGACTCTCCCTGCCCTTGACTAATTGCACTCATATATAGAGATCCAGTGGTCTTGTGAGTTAGCCCCTCCCCAACAAGATTCTCCAAGGACACAGAGACACAGAGAGCCTGCCTTTGGTTTTCATCTATGTCTAGAAGCCAGATGCGTTTTCTCAAAGACTTGAGCCTTAGTTTCAGCCAGCTGGAACTCTTTGCAACTGTATTTCCAAGAAACATATGTGTAAATCAGAAAAGGCAGCAAATGACCCCTGATTGTTGTTTAAGTGATTCTCAACAAAAGGACACTCTGTGTATGAGGCAAGAGATAAGTCTCTTCCTGTCTCAGTTCCTGAAATAAGCAGATTATTTTCATGATTCTCTTAAAGGATGCTTGCTATGCCATACAGCAGACTGACCATAAAGGGAGAAAAGATCTAAATAAAGTTCTTTCAATCAAAATAGAAGTGAAAGGCTGTAGGCTGGAATTTTTTCCTAAAATATACTACATAACAATACAAGATTTCTCCCTTCATGCTCCATATTCACAGCATGATCATAATGAACATTCTTACCCACTGGTCCAATAAATAACATCAGGATAGATGGAGAAAACACTGGAACTGTCAACAATTTTGTCTTATTTAAATCCATAATCAATACACTTGGTACTAGCAGTCAGGAGATCAGGAGAAATATTGCATTGGGAAAGTCTGTAGATAGGGACTTCTCCATATTATTGAGGAGCAATAATGCCAGTTTGAGGACTAAGGTGTGTCTGATTTAGGCCATGGTCTTTTCAGCCACTGTATATATCCAAAGGCTGGACAATCACTAAAATATGACAGAAGAAAAATTGACAACTTTAAATTGTGGTGTTGGATAAAAGTCCATGGACTGCCAAAAGAATAAACATAAATGTATTACAAAATTCCAACCAAATTGCTTCTTGAAAGCAAAGATGATGAAGCTTCATCTCACATACTTTGGGTATGTTTCTAGGAGAGGCTATTCATTGGAGAGGGATATCATACTTGAAGCTGGAGGTACAGCAAAAAAAGAAGAAAAGAAGAAGGAGACCCTCAACCGGGTGAACTGATACAGTGACTACAGCAAATGGCATGATGGTGTCAGAGATTGTGAGAATGGCACAGGATAGGACAGGGTTCAGATCTGTTGTTCATAGGGTTGCTATGCGTCATATTTGGCTTAACAGCATCTAACAACATCAATAACACTCCTTGAAGAGGGACATCATGTTTGGAAAGGTGGAGAGTAAGTTAAAGATTGATACAGTGTCTGAGCAATGGGCATAAATGTGTTAAAGATGAGAAGGATGGTGCAGGATAGGACAGGCTTCAGATTTCTTATTCTTAGGATCACAATTAGTTGTACTCCACTTGATGACACTTAACAACAGCAATAACTGTGAAGCCACAGATGGCTATCTTGTCACTATCACTTCCATCTTGCCCGGTGGGAAGGATAAGCATACACTAGCAGCCACAATGAGTTGCTCTTCAAAACAACTATGAGATATCATCTCATCCCAGTAAGAAGAGCAAAATTTAACAGAACAGCAAACATCAAATGCTGGCGAGGTTCTGGAAAAACTGGAACCCTTATTCACTGTTAGTGGGAGTATAAAATGGTGCAACCACTATGGAAGGCTGTATGGCGCTGTCTCAAAAAGTTGCAAATAGAGATACTATTTGACCCAGCAATTCCACTACTGGGAATTTACCCTAAAGAATCCATAACTGCCACCCAAGCAGATATATGCACACCCATGTTTATTGAGGTTTCGTTCATAATAGCAAAAACCTGGAAACAACCTAAGTGCCTATCAACAAACAGATGGATAGAGAAGCTCTGGTATATTCACACAATGGAATACTACGCAGCACTGAAAAATAAGAAACTTATGAAATATTATGCAAAATGGATGACCCTGGAGGACATTATACTGAGTGAAATATCTCAGTCACGGAAGGACAATATTGCATAGTGCCACTGTTGTAAAACGGAACTGACATCAAGATTGAGGGAAGACAGAAAAGGAGGGGAGGAATGATGTATATTGCATTGAAACAGATGGAGAGAACTGTTTAAAAGGGACAAATAAATGGGTATTCTTGTCATTACAGAAGTCCAGAGTGAAGGCTGCATAGTGGAGTGGACTGAGGGGGAGAGGGATTGCATAACAATGAAAGAGTTTTTCTTTTTCTTTTCAAGGAGAAGAGTGAATTGGGGAGAGGGCATGGGCAGGGAGAAAAGTGCAATAATGAACGACTAAAAACCCTAAAAAAAAAGAGAGAGAGAGAGACTGCTGAAATAATTTCATAAGAAATTGCAATTTAAGATTGATTTATTTAAAAAATTCAAATTCAAAAAAAAGTTGCTGTCATTTGCAGCATTTTCAAGCATTTACCTTTGCTGTGGAGAAGTAAATGCCAAAGGGGTATAAGCTAATTAGAAATAACCTCTTCTATAGTAACATTCTATAATTCACCTATTCATTCATTTATTAATTATTTTGTTCATTTTCATTCCAATAATAAAATTGGTCTAGAGATTAAGGTGTGCCTGATCTAGGCCATGGTCTTTGCAACTAATTACTATGCATCAGTGAGCTGGACAATGACTAAGGATGACAGAAGAAGAATTGATGCCTTTGAGTTGTGGTGCTGGAGAAGAATCTTGAACATACCATGGACTGCCAAGAAAACAAATCTCTTGGAAAGGGTGAAACCAAGTTTCTCCTTGGAGGCTAGGATTTTGAAGTTCTGTCTCACATACTTTTGGGCATGTTGCCAGGAGGGACTGGTCCTTGGAGAAGGATATCATCCTTGGAAGGGTGGAGGGACAGCACAAGAGAGGAAGACCTCAGATGAGATGGATTGATACAACAACTAGGGAAGTGAGGGTGTGTCAGAGTCAGTGATACTGGCTCAGGGCAGAGCAGGCTTCAGAGCTGTTGTAAATAGGGTCACTAAGTCGACAGCACATAACAACAATAAAGTCATGAACTTTGACAAGTAGAAATATCGGTAGAAGGCTTGTAGCCTTTTTTCTTCATTAACCCATTTATGGAATACACTTAGTCTAAAAGATGATTCACATGCAAAAGATATAGTTATAACCATTCCATTTGAATCATTCTCTACAGGTAGTCCATAGATTATATAACTTTAAGTCTTATAAAACTTACTTTTCCCCAACTGTCCTGCACTTTCCCATATCTACTACTTTGTTTTCATATAAACAGTGTGTCTTCTGTTTGAGATTTCAGTAAAGGATTCTTTTCAATAAAGTCTCTTAATACAGATAATTAAACTTAAAGAATTTAAGCTACCAGAAAAAGTTGTGTGGATTTTACTCAATGCACAATAGGAAGGAACTCACTGTAGTTTTTAAAATAATCTGATGAGATCAAAGTAGTGTTCTAAAATGGTTGACACTAGATGATGTGCAGATTGTATGTAAGGGTAAAGTGGAAAATTCTAACCAGAAAAGTGAGTTGGAATTTATTTCAGCACTTCAGACTCAGGACTTCATTTAGGAAGGGAGAGACAAAAGAATAGAAAGAATTCACAAGACTTTGTATCTGATTGAACATAGTTTCAGGTATGATTGACAGAAAAATTGAAAAACTTAAGAATAAAATAAAGGAAAAGATCATTGGGAAGTTGTTGAAAAATAGAGTTTATTTGGAGAGAAGACTATTCTTATTTTACAGACAATATTCAAATATATAATATGAAATACAGCTTTCTTTGGGAAGCACTATGTAAGATAGGGACATAGTTGGAGTCACTGACTTGAATAACATTTTTCATCAGTGAAGTCATGGGAATGGATGAGATCTAATCACATTGAACAAAACAACACTAGAAACATCCCTGTTAAGGAAATAAGAAGAAGGAAAAATCAAAGGGAAGAAAGAGACTATGGAAGAAGATGGGACGGCAAAACAGCATAGTGTCAAGACAATTGCCAGGAATTTCAAGAAGAAAAGGGCAGTCAACAATTACAAAAACCATATAAAGCTCAAAGAAAATGAGGGTTGAGGGAAGACCATGACATTTGGCAATGAGGATATTCTTGATAAATTTTGAGCTGAGTCTTCCTCCATAATTTCTCCAGAATTCTCTGAGTGTAAGACATTGCAAGAAGAGGGGGGGACCCACACACCCCATTTTTATGTTGTTGTTACTGTTACGGATACCTAAATCGTGTATATTACAAAACAGAAGGAGTGTTGTAGAATGGGACTGTCCTTGGGGTTGGGGAGAGACTGAGTAAGATGGGTTCAATAATGTATA